CACACACGCACAGAGACACATGTACACACACGCACAGAGACACATGTACACACACGCACAGAAACACATGTACACACACGCACAGAAACACATGTACACACACGCACAGAAACACATACACAGATACATGTACGTACACAGAAATACAAACGCACAGACACACGTACATACATACACAGGCACATGTACACGCGCACACACACGTACATACACACAGACACATGTACAGGTACACACATTGTACATGCATACACAGACACACAAACACACACATGTACACCACCACCCAACCCCCCATAAAAAGTTGCAGTACTTCGTTGTTCACTCACAGAGCCAGGTACTGCACTCTAGGGGGAGGCAGAGAGCACAGCACACACTCCTTCCTTTGCTTTCACTGCGCTCAGCTATTGAGCAGTCTGACGGCTCCCAGTGCCAATGATAGATCTGGCCTGAGCTCCAAGCCTGCTCAGCAAGATGGCCCTGGGGGACACACTCGCCCCCACCATAATTTCCACTCGCCATTGGCGAGCAGGCGAGTGGAAATTTCAAGACCTGACCTAAAGGATATGTTCACCTTTTATAACATATTACTGATGTAGCAGCCCCATCCCCCATTGCATTGTGACAGCAAGCAAGGAACCTTCTCCCCGGCACCTGCTCTCCCCACTTTCAAACAACAGCTCCTCCGCTCCCCCAGCCATGTCACACATACAGAGCTCAGCGAATGGGAGAACTACAACTTTGTGGCTGACGGCTTACAGTTCTCAACGGACTACCAGGGCGCTGGTGAGCACTCTAGGTGGTTCATGGATTCTTTCTGCTGTCATTCACTAACTGCTTGTATGAGGTATGGAGAGACAGCTACCCTGACAGTCTGCAGGAGCCTGGCATTGCCCCTGCAATCTGCTGATCGTGGCTGCAATGCTTTACAGGCTCCTAATAAATAAATGCACGTTTTTTTTACCTGCAAAAAAAAAGTGCATTTATTTTATTTTTTTAAAATGTGATCTTATCCTTTAAGTAGGCTCTGCTTCTCCAGTGATCTCCGCTTGCTTCCACTAAGCTCACCTAGTTCAGCCCGGGTTCACACTGATGCGGTGCAGAATTTGCAGCGTTTTCAGTGTGATCAGAATCGCACCCCGTTCATGTGAACCACTGCGAGTGTGTATGTTAAGTTAACAACACACCGAAAGCAGTCCACAAAATGAGGTGCGATGTGCAGAATCGGATCACATAGGTGTGAATACCCGAGCGATCCGATTCTAGTGCGGACCAGAAAAAAGGGTTCTGCACCTATTTGGTATGGTAGGATTAGAGCCATACAAAATGTACGGCTCCAATCGCACCGCACACAAATCACATGTGATGTACACAGTAATGTGGCGCGGTTCCTGTGGGAATCACATGAGATATACCGCACCGCATATATGTGAACCCTGGCTCAATCAGGGAACACTGAAAATGTAAAGCATTCTCTGATTTGTGTACAGAATCTACACCAGGAGTTCCTCTCTACTTTACATCTGTGTTGCTCTTTGAAAAGTGACCTGTAGTGGATTGCTTATTTCTGCCAACGAGGAAAATGCCCTAAGGCGCATTTTGATTCCCAATGAATTGGTATTAGTAAGGGTTCCCCGAGACCCAAAAAAATATTCCGGGGTTAAAAAGAAAAATAAATAAAAAAAATAAAAATAAAAAAAAAAAGGTTGAAAGATGATGCACCTCAATGGCTGCACTAATCTACTGAGAGTTCATGTGCAAGAAATGTGCAGAGCTGCTCAGTACTCTGCCTGGAACTGGCTGCATGCCAACCACAGTGCTGGGCAAAGTATCGCAGTGCACTATTTTTATTTTCTTAATCCAGGAGCAAAAAGGGAAACCAGTTTTTTTTTTAATGTAAATTTCCATTACAATTACAACGTGTCTAGCAATAGCAATGTCATCTAAGGTAGTAATAATAATAAACAACAACATATTGAACAATGCCAAAAATTAAAAAAAAAAAACACAAGATAGAAAAAAAATAATAGTATTATAGTATTAATATTTTACAAAAAAAAAAACAATAATAATAATGAAAATAACATAATATGAAATATTGTCACTATTACTATAATTTTATTCTAGTTGTAAAAATAAATATAAATGTATAATTAAAACAAATTATTAATAATAATAATAAACTACTAATAACATTATTTTCACTTTTATTATGTTAGTAATCTATTATAGTATTTTACTTTATTATTGTTATATTACTATTATTTTAAGAAAAAAAAAAAACACACAATATGAATAAGTAACATGGTAAATATATTAATCAATATTGTTATAGCTCTATTATTATTATTATATTAGCAAATATTGTTAACAATAAGCACCATTAAATATATGATCATAATTATTATGATGATGATTTTTTAGTATTTTATTTAAAATAAAAATTTGTAATAACATAACATTGTTATCTTTATCAAATATACCATTAGACTCATTTTTATTATTTTATTAATAATGATATTATCATAGGCTTTTACTTTTTATTGTGATATTATTTTATTAAGTGTTACCAATGAAAAAAAAATAGTAATAAATATTGTTATTACTAACGTATTATTTTTACTGTCATTAACAACAAATAATCAACATAGAAAAAACCCCAATATTGTATTATTCTCCAAATTATATTATTTTAGTAATAACATTATTATAGTTTTTTACTTTGTTTTGATATATTTTATTAGTTAATAATAAAAAAAAAAAAACACATGATATAGTAGTAATAAATAGTTATTACTAACATTATTATTAGAGTATTATTTTTACTGTCCTTAATAACAAATCAACATAGAAAAAACCCCAATATTGTAATATTCCAAATTATTATTTTAGTAATATTATAGTTTTTTACTTTTTATTGTTATATTATTTTATTAGGTATTAATACAAAAAAAAAACATAATAATAAATATTATTACTAACATTATCACTAAAGTATTATTTTTACTGTCATTAACAACAAATAATCAACATAGAAAAAACCCCAATATTGTATTATTCGCCAAATTATTTTAGTAATAATATTATAGTTTTTTACTTTGTATTGTTATATTTTATTAGGCATTAATAAAAAAAAAAAACCCATAATATAATAGTAATAAATAGTTATTACTAACATTACTAAAGTATTATTTTTTACTGTCTTTAATAACAAATAATCAAAATAGAAAAAAAAGCAATATTGTATTATTCTCATTATTTAAATGATATTATTATTATTATTATATTACTAAGTATTGTTAGAACAAATCACTGTAAATCTGCCCTGCATGTGACTCCTATGGTACTGTCTGTGTTGCTCTATGAGTAGTATTGTTGGGAGATAACATGTAATATAATAATAATGATGATGATGATGATGATGATGATGATGAAGATGCTACGTCCGCTCTGCGGTGATGATGTGTCCGGTGCGATCATGCCCGGTGTTGCCCCCCCCCGGTGTTTACCCCGGTGCTGCGCCCTCCTGTGTCTCCTGTGGTTTTCTCTCCGGAGGGTCTCCACGTTGGAGCGGTGCGGTGGTCCGGCCTCGTCGTCAGCGCTCCCCGGTGTGCCCCCTCATCCCCCCCGGTCCGGTGCTGTGTATGGAGGGACCGGCTCCTCATACACGGGTCGGGGTGATGATGATGATGACGCCTCCTATGTGTCAGCGGTCCCGGCTCACATCCACACCATAGTAATAATAATGATGATGATGGTGAGAAGCCTCCATAGACCGGAGCGCACTCCTCTCCTCCTCCAGTCACCGCCGTCCTATTCCCGGCCGGGCACGGTATGACATGTACACGAGTCCCCGGGAAGAGTCCATCCCGCCCCGGCTACCGGCCGCCCATGGTAGAGCGGAGGACGGAGGAGGATGAGCCCGGCTCGGGTGACAGATCTCCGATCACCGAGCTCTCCGAGCCCTTTGTTTAAAGAGACAGCTCACCGTCCACACAGGGGAGAGAGCGCCCGAGCGGCCTCTAGTGGACAGGAGGGTTGTCTGCATGACTGTATACAGCAGGGGGACTTGTACCATGTACAGTGCTGGAGCCGGGCCATTCACTATACAATCTGATTGTACAATCTCCTCCACTACAAGGGTCTCTATATGTGATACAAATGGAATGGATTGTTTAAAGCACAGATATCAAACACAAGGGTCGAGGGACAAATCTGGCCCCCCAGGCCCTCAGCTATGGCACCCCCTTATCTCAGAAATCAGCAGAAGAGAGGAGTACAGAACTCCTCCGCCAGATCCTGTGCTTCTCCATGCAGCCGTGGAGAGGCTCATCTCTGCAACCCCCACACCCCTGGTCTCAGCAGTCAACAGAAGAGAGGAGGACAGAACTCCTCCGCCAGATCCTGCGCTTCTCCATGCAGTCGCAGAAAGGCTCATCTCTGCAACTCAAAAACCCGTGGTCTCAGCAGTTGGCAGCAGAAAGGAGGACAGAACTCCTCCTACAGATCCTGCACCTCTCTGTGCAGCCACTGCACCCCTCCTCTCACATTCCTCTGGTTTTAGCATTCAGCTGACTCCAGCCCTCCTCTGCTCCTCCTCCAGACCCTGCACTTTCTGCTTCTCAGCTCCACTTCCAGCAGGTAAGGGGGGGGCGCACTGTGATGTAGGGGAGAGTGAAGTGCTTTGGTCATCTAGTCTTACAGATACAACCGGCCCTTTGAGGGCAACCATAACGCTGATGTGGCCCACTATGAAATTGAGTATGACACCCCTGGTTTAAAGTGTTACTAATCCCAGAACCCTGCATTCACTATATCTGGTCTCCCGGACCCTGCATTCACTATATCTGGTCTCCCGGACCCTGCATTCACTATATCTGGTCTCCCAGGACCCTGCATTCACTATATCTGGTCTCCTCAAACCAGCATTCACTATATCTGGTCTGGACCCTGCATTCGCTATATCTGGTCTCCCCGGACCCTGCATTCGCTATATCTGGTCTCTCAGGACCCTGCATTCGCTATATCTGGTCTCCCCGGACCCTGCATTCCCTATATCTGGTCTCCCCGGACCCTGCATTCACTATATCTGGTCTCCCCGGACCCTGCATTCACTATATCTGCTCTCCCCAAACCAAGCATTCACTATATCTGGTCTCCCCGGACCCTGCATTCACTATATCCGGTCTCCCCCCAAACCCAGCATTCACTATATCTGGTCTCCCCGGACCCTGCATTCACTATATCTGGTCTCCCCGGACCCTGCATTCACTATATCCGGTCTCCCCAAAACCCAGCATTCACTATATCTGGTCTCCCCGGACCCTGCATTCACTATATCCGGTCTCCCAAACCCAGCATTCACTATATCCGGTCTCCCCAAACCCAGCATTCACTATATCCGGTCTCCACAGACCCTGCATTCACTATATCCTGGTCTCCCCAAACCCAGCATTCACTATATCTGGTCTCCCCGGACCCTGCATTCACTATATCCGGTCTCCCCAAACCCAGCATTCACTATATCCGGTCTCCCCAAACCCAGCAATCACTATATCCGGTCTCCCCAGGACCCTGCATTCACTATATCCGGTCTCCCCGGACCCTGCATTCACTATATCCGGTCTCCCCGGACCCTGCATTCACTATATCCGGTCTCCCCGGACCCTGCATTCACTATATCTGGTCTCCCAGGACCCTGCATTCACTATATCCGGTCTCCCCGGACCCTGCATTCACTATATCCGGTCTCCCCGGACCCTGCATTCACTATATCTGGTCTCCCCGGACTCTGCATTCACTATATCTGGTCTCCCCGGACCCTGCATTCACTATATCTGGTCTCCCCGGACTCTGCTCACTATATCTGGTCTCCCAGGACCCTGCATTCACTATATCTGGTCTCCCCGGACCCTGCATTCACTATATCTGGTCTCCCCGGACCCTGCATTCACTATATCTGGTCTCCCCGGACTCTGCATTCACTATATCTGGTCTCCCCGGACCTGCATTTACTATATCTGGTCTCCCAGGACCCTGCATTCACTATATCTGGTCTCCCCGGACCCTGCATTCACTATATCTGGTCTCCCCGGACCCTGCATTCACTATATCTGGTCTCCCCGGACTCTGCATTCACTATATCTGGTCTCCCAGGACCCTGCAGTCACTATATCTGGTCTCCCCGGACCCTGCATTCACTATATCTGGTCTCCCAGGACCCTGCATTCACTATCTCTGTATCACAGTACACAGAACATGGAAATGCAAATATTTTAGTAAATATAAACTGCTAAATACCTTTTCCCATCAGCAGTATATGGCAGTCTTGTGACCAAAGCTGGATCTAGCCTATCTGGTCTGGGGGTGCAGTAAAAAAAGTCAGGGGGCATAATGCCAACACAGTGTGTGAATCAGTGGGATCCTGTCACACAGTGTCACCACACTAGTATGTATTAGGCTGACACAGAACCAGTCCTCCTTATATCAGATGTCCCTATCAGAGTCCCCCTTTAAATCAGGAGTCCTCATCAGAGTCCCCCTTTGAATTGGGTTCCCATCAGCTTGCCCCCTTACATCAGGTGTGCCCATCAGAGTGCCCCCGTACATCAGGGTCCCCATCAGAGTGCCCCCTTACATCAGGTGCCCCCATCAGAGTGCCCCCGTACATCAGGGTCCCTATCAGAGTGCCCCCTTACATCAGGTGTCCCCATCAGAGTGCCCCCTTACATCAGGTGTCCCTGTCAAAGTGCCCCCTTACATCAGATGTCCCCATCAGAGTGCCCCCTTACATCAGGTGTCCCCAACAGAGTGTCCCCTTACATCAGGTGCCCCCATCAGAGTGCCCCCGTACATCAGGGTCCCTATCAGAGTGCCCCCTTACATCTAGGTCCCTATCAGAGTGCCCCCTTACATCAGGTGTCCCCAACAGAGTGCCCCCTTACATCAGGTGTCCCCATCAGAGTGCCCCCTTACATCAGGTGTCCCCAACAGAGTGCCCCCCTTACATCAGGGTCCCTGTCAGAATGCCCCCTTACATCAGGTGTCCCTGTCAGAGTGCCCCCCCCCCCCCCCTACATGGATTGTCCCCATCAGTGTGCCTTCTTACATCAACTGTCTGCTTTAGACTGGCTCATGGATTAGTGCAAGGGTCTCCAAATGTTTAAAACAAAGGGCCAGTCTCCTGTCCTTCAGACTTTAGGAGGGCCGGATTAGGGCCAGTGGGGAAAGAAAATGTCCTGGTCCCAGCATCAGTGAGAATGAACATGGCCTCAGGGTTGATGGTCAGTAGGAGGAGTAGTGTACCATCACTTGTATTAGTGGGAACAATAGTACATCATCTTTGGTTTCAATGGAAGTACTGCCCCATTCTTGGTCTCAGTGGGAGGAATAGTGCCCCAAGGGCCGGATAAAGGGTCGCAAAGGGCCATATCAGGCCCTTGGGCCGCAGTTTGGAGACCCCTGGATTAGTGGATGCAGTTTCAGAGACTTAAGGGGGCACAGCTAAAATCTGGGTGGGCACACCCCACCCCAGCGCTCCCTTAGATCCAGCCCTGCTTGTGACTTCTATCAGTGTCCAGCCAAGCACTGTTTAATTTGTAGTCTTGTAGGAGGAGTTTTCATTCTCCTTGATTGTCCTATGAGGCTACTTAACCCCTGACCTTCTGTCTGGACAGTGCTGATTGGCCCTGTGCTGATCACATGCACTCTCCCAAGAAAACAAAAATTCTCTAGCAATACACACCAAACTGAGAATGTGTAGTTTGCACTCCAAGGCTCTGTTCTATCAGCAGATGGATTGGGGACTGTGAAAGAAGGAGAGGATCAGAGAAGACAGGATCAAACATTTTTTTTACACAATGCAGAGGATTAACCCCTTAGGTTCCACAGTGAGTATAACAGGCAAGCTTTACTGCATATACAGACTGATTTTACTGTTGTGCATTTCTCAAAACAATATTTTTGACTTTTTGCTATTAAACATGTCCAGTAAAAAAAAATAAAAAAATCAAATCTCGTCATAAATTTACACCAAAATGTATTCTGCGACGTGTCTTTGCTAAAAAAAATCCCAATATGTGTAAATTAATTAGTTTACATGAAAGTTGTAGCGTCTACAAATGGCGATATAGATACTGGAATTTTTTTTTACTGGTAATGGTGGCAAAAAGCGACTTATAGCGGGACTAGGGAAGGCATTCTGACACTGGGGGGAGCTAACTTGGTGTCACTGACATCCCCAGTGACACCAATACAGTGATCAGTGCTAATAAAAAGCAACCAAGTCAGGGGTCATTTTGGAGGAATTTCTTCTCACTTCCTGTTGGGTTTATGGGACAGGAAGTGAAGGGAAATCTCCTCAATGGGACACAGATGGTAAAAAAAAACTGGCAGGGTTTATAATCTTCCGTTCCCTTTTGGCTTTAGGCCTACTTTAGAAATGTATTTTTACTTGCGTGTTGTTGTTTGAGAGTTCCCCTCACTTCCTTTGTGGTGATAAGGGTGTGTCTCCAGAACAGGAAATGAAAGGAAATCCCTCTAAGACTATTTAAAGCATATCATAAATCCTATATTCATTTCCACATTGTATTCCAATGTCTTCCAGTCTACTATTAATCTAAAGGATCTTGACGTTTGTAAACGTATTCTGTGAACATCCCACACATTTTCTTCCTTGAATTCTGTGACCCGTAGTCACTATGCCCTGTGAGTAGGCACTGCTGTGTCACACATTTCCCAGAGCCCACCTTCTGATCTACAGAAGAGCTGAGGGGAGGAGTTTCAGGAGGCGGAGCCACAGCTTGCAGGCAGAAAGGCACCATGGGATATGTAGTCCTTAGAAAGTGAGGATAAGCTGCAGAGCATGCAGGAAATCCAGGAAGAACCCACAACATGAAAGGAGATTTTTGTAACCACTACGGGACCGCCCGCAGTACATATACTGCTACAAGGCGGCTCCTGTGCGCAGGATCATGTATATAAACGTGATCCTGCATTTCAGGGTAGTGGGCACGCGCGAGGCGCGAGACCGCCCTACCCGTGGCACCGATCATGGCCACGAGTGTCAATCACCAGGTCCCGGCCGGTGATTACCTGCAGTAGCCCGGCGATTGTCAGCAAACACTGACAGAGAGGACGGCTGCATTGTTTTCAATGGAGCTCTTCTCCCTGTCAGTTTTCAACACACTGTAACAGAGAAGTACATACCTCGCCCCCTAGTAAAACACTCCCCTCACACAGTTAACCCTTTGATTGCCTCCAAATGTTAACCCCTTCCTCCCCAGTGCCATTAGTAGTGTCAGTGGGTTTTTTTTTTCTGCACTGATCACTGTATTGGTGTCACTGGGGATGTCAGTGACCCCAAGTCAGTTCCCCCCCCAGTGTCAGAATGTCTGCCGCAGTCCCGCCATAAGTCGCTGATCGCCGCCATAAGTCGCTGATTGCCACTATTATTAGTATACAAAAAAAAATCCAGTATATATACCGCCATTTATAAACGCTATAACTTTCCCGTAAACCAATTAATTTTCATGTATTGGGATTTTTTTTTTTTTAGCAAAGACATGTCGCAGAATATATTTTGACCTAAATTTATGCCGAAATTTAGATTTTTAAATTTTTTTACTGGACATGTTTTATAGCAAAAAGTCCAAAATATTGTTTTTTTCTCAAAATTGTCAGTTTTTTTTTATAGCGCAAAAAATTCAAAACGCACAGGCGATCAAATATCACCGAAAGAAAGCCCAATTCATGGGGAAAAAAGGATGTCAATTTCATTTTGGTGCAGCATTGCATGACCGCGCAATTGTCAGTTAACGTGACGCAGTGCCATAAGACAAACTGCTTATGTAAAGTAATGTCATATTGGATTCTCAAACATAACTATTGTTTGTTTTGTTATTACAAAGATGATGTTATAAAATGAAAGTGTGTGACCACCGAACCACTTGACCTCTAGAAAGTTTTACCCCTTTCATAACTAGGGCATTTTTTTGCTATTCAGCACTGTGCTACTTTAACTGGCAGTTGTGCGGTCGTGCAACACTGTACCCAAACTAAATTTAGACCTTTTTTCACACAAATAGATCTTTCTTTTGGTGGTATTTGCTCATCATTGGGGTTGTTATTATTAACCATTTGCCGCCCGCCCTATGGCCGAATGGCGGCCGGCAAATGTCATCAGCTTTCCGGGTGGATGCCATATGGCGTCCTCCCGCACATGCGCAGATCGCACTCCTGCAGAGCTGCACAGCGGCACGATCTGTCATCGGCTGTGTACCTCGGACACGGCCGATGACAGATCTGAGTATCGGCCCCCGTTGTCAGTACCATGTGACCTGCTGTGACCAATCACAGCAGGTCACATGACAGTTGTATACAATGGATGGCTTC